AGCTAATCCGTCTGGTATGACGTGACCGCCGACGTTCCGCCCTGTGTGTATGAGCTCTGTCTCTCAACAACGATATATCATATGAATACAAATTATCATGGAAACAATACATTTCTCATATTAATGAAACACGTTGCTTTGACCTGAAACATTTTACTTACATGCTGCATGTTTTAACTAATTCAATCAACTGTTTTGTCCTTCTGAGAACATGTATTTTATAAGACCCAAGCGCTTCCAAGCACATTTGGGCTGTGTGGTAGCCTAGTGGTTAAAGCGTTCGCTCGTCACACCGAAGACGTGGGTTCGATTCCCCACATGGGCACAATGTGTGAAGCCCATTTCTGGTGTCCCCCGCCGTGACATTGCTGGAATATTGCTAAAAGCGGCGTAAAGTTACACTCAATCAATCAATCCGAGCCACAATCCTCGTCCACTGTTCCGAAGCAGCCTTAAAATCATCGTATAAAAATTGGAAACAGAAGTCGCGAGCATCCGCAGTCAAAGTATCGATCGGTTAGTGAGTTGGACTGCCGATGCTTTGAATATCTTTAGAGTTATCTCATCGTGTCAGCTTAATGTGGTAGAGAGCCCACGGTGACGCAGGTATTAGAAATTCCCCACGTACTAGCATCTGAAACCCACAAGAAGGGGTAAACCCAGAACAAGGGGCAACCGCAATACAAACCCACAATCTTAGGTTCCTGGCGCACTAAGGGGCGCAACTCTGAACAACAAATTGCGGCTTCAGATACGATTTTGTAGTATCAATTAAACTGTTGCATTGTGCACATTCATATATAAAAATTAACATTTATAAAGTTAATCATCATTAACACACTAGAGACCTTGGATGAGGGATGCAAAAGGACAATTCCTTCTGTGTAAATGTAATACGCCTGTTCAAGGCATACAGAAGGTGCATGCACAATGAAAACTCACAACACTGGTTATTCAATTATACCGATGTCTGTGTACGTGTGTTTTGTTATACTGTTTTACGCCGCACTGAGAAATATTCACGCTATCTAATCGGATAATAATAATAAAATTGTGGAGGACTGTGATATGTACTTGGGTTTATCCAGCAGAGTTACAATAATCCCTTTTTCCCAGCGAGACATGTGTATAATTAGAGACTTTTTCGGTTCCCTCACTTGGTACTCGTGCAGTGTGAGAAGCCAATTCCACGTGTTTCATGTTATATGATAATGCATACACTATGCCTTGTTAATTAATTCCACACACAGCAATATTCCAGCTATATGATGGCGGTCTTAAAATAATGGAATCTGGACCAGACAATCCAGTGATCACCAGCATGAGCATCGATCTGCACAATTGGGATACGATTAGGGCTCTCACGAGTACTCGGGTACCCGGGGCCGAGTCGGGTAAAAGCAGGACTCGAGTCCAATTGAATGGACTCGAGGACTCGTAGAGGAGATACCTCTAAACATCTCATGCAATCAAGATGGATGATCGTGAGAAAAATCCAATGACTGGACGCATTTTTATCTTGATTTAGTGGCCAAAATACGAAATGCCGTCTTAGTGGCGTTTCCCTTAGTTACGCAAGCATTTGTCCCCTAAGCACCCACAATAAGCACTGTAGACAGAAAACCAGCTTAACAAGCAACCCTCGGTTAGTTTGGTAAGTTTGATAGCAAAAGTCGCAAGCCTGCTGACAGGAAATGGTATGAAGGTATTACGCAAAAGCAATGCTTATGTGTGTTATAGATATGCGACCAATAAGCCTTGTTAAAGGGAGGGTTTCAGGGCTTTCTGTGAACCATTGAACCCAAATTACCAGGTCCCATGTACTGCGACAATTCACAACTACCTCATAAAGACGAATGAAGTTTGCAAGGAGAGAACAAAATATCAGTACCCAAAACAGTACCTGCCGTTGCCCTAACTACGGACGCGTGGAAAAAGCGTAGCCACTCACGGCTGCATCACTGTCACTGCCCACTATACCTATGTTTGAACAACTTGTTTTCTACATAGATATGCAGTCGTTCTTTTCCAGCGTATTTCAGTGTTACATATTCAACAATCAACACATACATACGCATTCAAAATAACATTCACGCTTGGAGACTTATATGCTTAATAGTGAAAGTTTTAATCACAATGAATACCATTGACGTGATACCCGTTCAGCAGAGTTTCGGAAGAAGAAATACAGCGTAGTGTTACTCAATAAATGGTTAGTCTTTAGTTTGAAACCAAAACGTTTTTCACTATAAGAAGTCTCAAATAAACATCAATCCTGTTTTACATATTCTTTAAGTTCCACAGTCGATCCATCTTTACAAGATACTAGTATCTAATGCAGCACCAATCAATGAATGCTTTATCTATGTGTCTTCCAGCTTTGGAACGTGTTTTGCCGCATTTTAACCGTGATTAAGGTTAATTGATTATGTGACTTATCGTCTAGGTGAATGTTTAAAAGTTGCTAATATGTCATAACTGCAACGGCATCTTAATCTTAGATAATCTTGAAAGCGCAGTCAATCTTAAAACCAAAGAAAAGAAATTACATTCATTGGTTTCTTTTCCCGGACACATCAATCATATTACAGTATTTACAGGCGTAATAAGGTATCACCGGCCCAGCTCATGAATATTAATCACGCATAATTGATCGCGTAGAACTGGGTCACAGTGACACTTACGTTGCCATCACATTCTGTTTGCAATAATAAAAGGTAATGATACTTCCATTGACATTGAATATCAATTGCTTTATTCAGGAACGTTTGGATTCACATAAACATGTTGCATTATTCGTAGATTGGAAGTTGGAACAGCTACGTGTATGCTTGAATGTTGGTTTCAGATAAGCATCAACTTGTCGGGTACTCGGGTCGAGTCGGGTCTGACACCTCGAGTACTCGAGTCCCACATTTTGGACTCGTGAGAGCCCTAGATACGATGACCATGTGTCATCCACATCAGCGAGCCTGACCACCCGATCCAGTTAGTCGTCTCTTACGACAAGCATGGGTTACTGAAGACCAATATTGCCGCGTTAAACAACAAACCAATCAATTACTCCTAAAAAAAATAGATTCGTTGAGTCTAATTCGAGAAGAGAAGTACGAAAAGTGATCGAAGTCATGAAGCAGTCAATACTGATATACAACGCAATTTTTATATCGATTACAAATCGATATCATGATACAACTGAGAATCTACAAGTCACTTACTACCATAGATGGTGAGTCAAGTGCCTTTATATTCCTCTTGTGATTGAGCCGATAGTTCATTCAAGGACAAACTCACTTGGCTATCGATCAACTGAGCACGTTTGCCGTGTTGCTATGCTTTTTACCGAGTTAGTGTCTTTTTATCTTGCTTGTTATTACGTCTCCTCATTATTAGTCATGAGTCAAATACTGTTATATGGAAGTGTATGTAAGTTCTTGTCAAACTACCATGCAGTTACCTTGTTTCGATGAATATTCAGTAGAAGTTCAAAACACTGTTTTTTTAGTTGGGAGGAGTGTAGTACTTGTACGCATAGGCGGGAAAGTTTCTTCGTTAAGATGCTTCTGGCCTCAAATGTGGTCTAGAATCCTATAGAACATGAATTCAGATTAGTCCCGCATAGTATGACCATTTACGATAGGTTTAAAGAGTATAAAATGGTGCAAGCCATTATCATCTCGCCTTAGTGGTTGTATGACGATCATATGTTCAACCTGGACCTTCAGCCTAGGCCTGTTTTGGAGGCCATTGCTTGGTAAAAAAACACTGTGTGAGTGAGTATGGTTTTAGCAATATTCCAGCAACATCACCGCGTGATACACCAGTAATGGCTACACAAATTGTACCCATGTAAGGTATCGAACCCGGGCCTTCGGCGTGACGAGCGAACGCTTTAACCACAAGGCTACCCCACCGCCTCCGGGTGAAAAACAGCACCAGTCTCTGTATCGTTAGTGTATCTCAGTGGGCTAGCACTATAAAACCAGCTTCAGTGGGCTGGTAGGGGCAAAAGCAGCCGCACGTACACATACACACGCATGCACGTCGTCATATGAGCGAAATATTCTCAAGCACGATGTTAAACCTACTGGTTAATTTCACCTCACCTCACCTCACCTGTATCGTTAGCTGAGGGGCGGTACAACTGCTATTGTTTGAATACTGCCTTTGTAATGGGAACTCCGCCATTGCATTTCGTCAGTACTGCCACTCTACTGTGCATTTTGGGGTTAGCCTACTGGTTAAAGCGTTCGCTCGTCACGCTGAGGGGCGGTGGGGTAGCCTAATGGTTAAAGCGTTGGCTCGTCACGCCGAAGACCCGGGTTCGATTTCTCACATGGTTACAATGTGTGAAGCCCATTTCTGGTGTCCCCCGCCGTGATGTTGCTGGAATATTGCTAAAGGCGGCGTTAAACCAAACTCAGTCAGTCAGTCAGTCGTCACGCTGAAGACCTGGGTTCGATTCCCATGGGTACAATGTGTGAAGCCCATTTCTGGTATACCCCGCCGTGATATTGCTGGAATATTGCTAAAAGCGGCGTAAAACCATACTCACTGATGCACTCACTACTGTGTATTGCCTTTTCACTATTTCACAATATGTTTGATTGATTTGTAAAAACAGTTATTGTTATCTTGCACTAGTTAATCGTATTCCCTTTCTTTGCGGTTGCTTATCATGAAACTCTTTTTGTGAATTTCTGGGTTAAATTACGTATTTGATTTCTAAATCGACTAGGTTTCGGTCTGTTTATAGGGAACGGCACCCTTCATGAACTAACTGATCGACAAAGAGCTAGCTCGTGAAACCAAAACAACAAATAACCAACAAAATATTTTATTGATTTTGTTCACAGTGAGAAACCTCAGAGCAGATGCAGTGAACCTTTATGAAAAACATCAGTGAACGTCAGTATATTGTTCGTTGTCCAAATGGATGCTTAACGCCATCGATTATGGATCTTTGGTTGTCAGTGATAAACCATAAGTGCCTTGTGAATGTTTGATTATCAGATGATGGCTCACATCGCAATGGTGGAGGACATGTTTCTCCTCAGGGTAAGTACGTCTATAATTCTCTGTTGTAGGCAGATAAGTCAGACTGATTCCTGGATATCGGCCCGGGAGATCATTTCTCGTCATACATATGTATATTTCTTGTGTTCAGATTTCTTCTACTACTGATAAGAAAGGGGGAAAATGGGTTATACTGAATATTCATAGACACTATTGTGTAGCGGAGAAAACAATGATCAATCTGATCACTGAACGTTTTGCTAGATGTTAAAAAGCGCCGCGAACATGACTGATATGAACTGGATAAAAAACCCTGATAAGTTTATCAGACTTAGCTTTAGATGCCATTATTATTTTCTTTGGGGAACTGAATACGATGTAAAATTAGACGAAACGATTCAGCTCAATTATAAAAGAAGATCTGGAGCTACACAGAGAAACTAACCGATTGTCTAAAAGAATAATCCTTCCTCAAAATCCATTCCCTCAAGATGTATTCATTCCGGAAAGGTTTAGCTGCGAAGGGTCAATGATGGAATCAAAAGAGGTTTTATGATTTTAACATTTAGGTTAAAGTATTAGTGTTCAGAAAGTTTTAGTATTTTTCTCCATATCACACCAAAACCTTAAGCTTTAAATTGATAATATTGTGTATCCCAAATGTTCATATTATATACACAGGGGCAAAAGAAACAATACCAAACTTTTTAAAATGATAATTTGTGTTTGGACTTTGATATTTTGAGTATTTATGGCTAGAAACATTCAACCGAACGCAACAAAGCTGACTCAATGAAACAGCGATGCACGTGCAAAGCAAGAACCCAGAAAAGTGAACTTATTCACGATAGTTTCGTGCACGTGCACACATGACACACGAGACAATATTCGTATAAAAGCACGTGAAAATGTTTTTGGACATCCACATTTTACGATTACATTTGCGACCATGCCGAGATTATCGCAAGAAGAGAGAGAAAGGGCAATTGGCATGATTCAGCTTGGCGCTACCCACAATCACGTCGCCAGGATCTTCGGTTGTAGCCGATTGACAATAACCAGGCTGGTGACCCGTTACAGACAGATAGGCAGGACACAGGACAGGCCGATGAGTGGCAGACCTCGGGTCACGACCCCAGCTGAAGACCGTTACTTGCGTACCCTGCATTTTGCGCAACCGATTCTTCACAGTGACATCATCAGCATCGACTGCGCTGGATCATCGTATCAGCCGAAGGACGGTGTCCAGGAGACTTCGTCAGCATGGTGTCAGCCTACAGACCCTAGCGTGGTGTAGCAGAGGCGCCTACATCGACGTCTACGTGTGAGATGGGCACACATCGTTCAAGCTGGGACAGAGTCTTGTTTACTGATGAGAGCAGATACCTTGAATAGACCGACGGCAGGATACGAGTGCATAGACGCAGAGTGAGTTGCTGCGCAGGAGGTTGAGCCGTTTGGCGGTGGTGGCGTTATTGTGTGGGGAAGAATATGTGGTGACAGAAATACGGATCTGGTTGTTGTCGATGGGAATTTGAATGGGCAGCGTTATATCGACCAAGTCCTTCGGCCAGTTGTTCTACCCTTCCTACAACAGAATCCAAGAACCGTATTTCATCAGGACAACGCCCCATGTCACACAGCTCAACGTGTTCAAGGCTTTCTGAACGCCACAACGTTGTTGTCCTGCCATGGCCATCACGCTCTCCGGATCTTTCACCCGTTGAGCATTTGTGGGACCATCTTGGGAGACAGATTCGTGCCAGACAGGTCGCCCCAGTGAACCCTCATCCAGGCTTTGAGGGAGGAGTGGAACAGGATACCTCCTCACGTGATCAGACGTCTGACCTCATCTGTTCGACATCGTGTTAGAGCCTGCATCGATGCCGGTGGTGATCACACACTCGATATTGAGTGAGTGAGTGAGTGAGTTTGGTTTTACGCCGCTTTTAGCAATATTCCAGCAATATCACGGCGGGGGACACCAGAATGGGCTTAACACATTATACCCATGTGGGGAATCACACTCGATATTGACGCGCAGGAGTGTCTCTGTGTCACAGACATTGACGTATCTCATCGTACTAGAGTGATCGAATACAGGACATATGAATATTATGTGTTTTTTTGCAACTATCTCAAACAATTATTGGCCTCGATTAATGAATTTGATTTTCCATGCTCCTCACCTATTTGTCTTCTAATTGCAACATTAATTTTCTGTTTATCTTTTGTCATCTTATATTAATTAGCCTCAATAATATGGTATCGTTTCTTTTGCCCCTGAGTGTATAGCTGGCAGTTTCATAATAAATGGATTATATTGTACCTAATATGTGAAATACTTTTTGACAAGCTATAGTTACTGCATATTAACCACGAGCCCTCTTGTCTTTACGAGGATTAAAGATTAAAAAATATTGTTTTTGAGATGACCCCGACTCAAAACGTTTCACAGTTAAGGGTGGGTATTGCAGAGAATGTTCATATTGCGATATATTGCGATGCGGAAGCATATATTGCGATATGTATTGCAATATATTGCAAGAATTATTTTTAACAAAACTATTTATAAACACAACAAAATCCACTATGATTGATTAACCTTTAATAAAACTTTTAATCATGACAAAATAAAATGAAAGTAACATTTGGCACTAATGAAACAGGGAAAGAACAATTAAAAAACGGAAATATCCGAAGATTTCCGAGTGTTACGAAGTTTTCCGAATGCATGTCAAAATACCGGTTTTCGATCAGCGTATCGCAATACGTATCGTTTTCATGTCTGAACCGGTAAAATACCGGTAAACCGGTTATATTGCGCAGCCCTATTCACAGTACAATACACTACTATGACAAGGGCCGGACATTTCGGTGCACCCTACCACGCCTGCTTTGCCGATCGCTACGCTACCATCGTTTAAAACTTAATGTAAACATAATCATGGATGATAAGCCTGTTACGACGTAAATTGTAATATAAACGCAAATTGTAATACTTGCAGCAAATTTGTAATAAACTTGGCGTAAATTGTAATAAAAACGTAAATTGTAATAGAAATTGACGTAAATTGTAATACATAAAATTGTAATAAAAATTGACGTAAATTGTAATAATTTTCGTTGCGGTAAAATGTAATAAATGTTAACGTAAATTGTAATAACAGTTTTAATCACTCGTAAATACGCGGGTGTTTGTTTTCGTTGCATTTCATACATCAAATAAGCTTATTAGGGCGATAACTCAATTAAGAATGATGGATTTTGTTTCAAATTTGGTACCAAGGTATATATTTGGGAAAGTATTAATAGATTTTTGATTCAATTTTGAGATAATTTTCAAGGTCACAGCAAAAATCTGAGGGTTGTGCCAATATAAAGATTGTTAGCGCGATAAAATTGACAAATCTTAGCTAAATGACGAAAATGATATTCGTCCTGATATATAATCGATATATACTGTCCTCTGTATCATGTCTTTTCGCAAATATCTTTTGAGGGTTTTGATATGCATACATATAAAGTGGGGGTGGGGGTAGGTAGGGGTGGGTTTCTAACGGGTATATCTAACACACTTGCATGCATGTAGAGTCGGAGAGGTGGGTGGGTGTTCTAACGGGTATAACTACGAGGGACGTTCAAATAGTAGTCAGCCTCACCTAGAATATGATACAAATGCAGCTGTTTTTATGTTTTATTTTTCTAAATATTATCTGTCAGCCTCAAGCAAATTGGTTTTGCTATGTTGCAGCCTCCACGATCCCATTTTGTGAGACTTTGTATATCTTGGCTTGGTACTCCCCAAAAACGTAAAATCTGCAATAAAATGCATCACAAACTTCAGGAAACAAAATATGCTATGTTTGAGATTGGTAGAAGTCGGCTAGAATCAAACTTAGATATTAAACTGCACAAAAAAGCAATTTCAAAACTACAATCGCTTGTTCAAATGACTCCCCATTCTGTTTACTGAAAGAACTCGAGAAAGAAATGATGGATTTTGTTCAAATTTGGTACCAAGGTTTATTGACTGGAGATTGGAGATTTACCGACACCACTTGAATTTAGTGACCTTGAGGGTCATTTTTAAAGGTCACAGCAGAAGGTGTAACAGTTTTGCACATGCCAAGCTTGGTAGCGGCGAACTCAGGAATGTATTAATAGATTTTGATCCAATTTTATATCAAGGTGTATTGGCGGGATTCCCCCAACACCAATTGATTGGGAAACTTGTGCTCATTTTAAGTTCACAGTGAAAAGTGTTTTGCACATGTCTAACTTTTTAGTGCGAAAATACAAGACAGAATTAATATGTTTTGCTTAAAGGTAGTACCAACATGCGTTGGGAGTATCGTCTAACGCCACTCGAATTCAGTGACCTTCGGATTATTTTCAAGGTCACAGCGAGTATTATTGAGATATCTCCAAACCCTAATGGATGGAATTTGTTCGCATTTTGTATCAAGGTCAGACAGAGGATAATTGCGACATTCAGATATCGACATGTGGCGGGGGTAATAACTATGTTTGTGACAAACGCTTCGTCATTACTAACTTTCAAATTTTTGTTAGCATATGGTTTCTATAATTTCATGTTAATTCTACCAGCTGTGAAATTATTCGTGAGTCGTGACACGTCTTAAAAAGCCAGAGATTATTTGTGTATGTTTCGAAAATTAAAGTTAATTGTTTTTTCATGATGGAGTTATTTTCGATGTTGACGCAAGGATATATTTTACGAGCAATAGCTTTCAATAATTTAATGTTATTTCTATTACATTTTGAAGTTCTTCATAGCATATCCCAAAATAACAGGATATTGTTTGTTTACGCTTTGAAATGTACGTTTCTTTTCTTCATTTTCGAATTATTTTCAATGTTGACGCAATGACATATTTGAAGTTAAATTTAATGTTTTAATCATATGTGATTTATTATGATTTATGTTTCGATCATACATTCATACATTGCGTTGTCATAGTTTAACCTGGTTCGTATTATTTTCTTCATCATATTACTACATATTATTGTATTTTTAT